AATTTGCAGTGCTGGCCTCAAGGAGAGCTGGAGCTGCATCGAGATGCCACAGCTGGGCCACCAGTGTCACAGTCCTGTGTGCTGCTCACTGTCCACAGCCACAAGACCAAGCAGAGGAACACTCACATCATAAACCTCAGGGGCTGGTGCACAGTGACAGCGAGCCTGAACCCAGGAGAAGCCACAAGAAATGAGCTAACAACATAATTTTGGAGGGAAAGAGCAAAACCAATACCTGACCTTGTTCAGACACAGGGAAAAACAGACCTACAGGAGCTGTAAAATGAGCCTGAGCCAAAATGCATGAGCGGTATTACAGGGAATAACCCTTACAAGGTGGAAGGCTTTGATAGACGCGCTCCTACAGGTACCTTCAATCCCTGGCAGCTGCAAGGCTTCAGTAATGAATGTCAGGCTGCTGGCCAGCTGAGAGGGGAATAAACAGCTATTTGCCTTCAGTGGAAGTAGCATCAGTTTGACATATGACATTCAAATGATAGGAGCTCTAAAAGTGTGGTTAAATGACTGCTGTTTGACTCCAAACCTCGAGTCTGCCGAAGCAGCATTGCAGCCGCTTACCTTTGCTCTGTGGGGGATTGAATCGCTGAGCTTAAAAATGGAAGATCAAAGTGCTTCTGCAAATTCAGTCCACACTGTGTCGTGTGTCCAGCTGCTCCTGTATGTGTGCTGGAGTGATGAGAAGGGTAAAGAGGGGTTCTCCCGTCGCTGCGTCCTTTGGCTCTGCTGATGGCTGCTGCTGGCACACGTGGAACTGAGGACACACGGAGCTGCCTCTATGGGACAGATGGGGAGAGGCTGGGAGGGATGAAATTTGGGGCTGTGGGATGGAATAGGGCAAGAAAAAGGGGTTATCCTCACCTGGTCCTGTCCCATGGTCTGGCATCCCCTTTTCCTGACATCCTCCTCCTCCTCCTCTGCACTTGTTGGCTCTTCTTCAAGGCTCTCCTGCATTTTGCCTTGCAGGATGTCACCCTACCCTGCACCATGTCCATCACCTGCTTGTTTTAAGAAAAAAGCACTGCAAAGAACTTAGTTCTCTATTTCAGGGCACCCTGTTATGCACTTGTTACATTTAGCCTGTCAGTTAAATACCAGCGGTCATAACTCTTTGATAACCTACCTGCTGAAGTGCTTTGGCTCGCAGTCTTCACGCTAAAACAAGAGCTCAGGACCAAAGTTGCTGCAGGAAAAAATCACTGCTCCCTGACCTTTGGGCAGACTCTGTGGGCTGATTATTCCATCGATTTAAACCGAATCGAGCACTCAGTGCGGGTGTCTGGGGGCCTGTGCCTCTTCGGCAGCGGGTCCAGCACAGCGCCGGCAGCAATAATACAGACAATCTCTATGCAAACCTGGGTCAGGGTCAGGAAAGCTCCAAGTGTCTGGCAAATTGGGGCAGGCACAACTGCTCTGCCTGGGACTGGCCCCAGGACCTCCTGCTGGCGGAGGGTGAGCAAAGCACGTGTAGAGCCCAGCAGCAACAGCACTTCAGTGAGGGAGCACCGTGTTAAGAGCAAGTGGGTGCTCATGCTTGAAAGCAGCCTAAATAATTGAAACACGAGTTGAGGGAGGCCAGATTTGAGTGATGCCACTTGAGGGTGGACTGTCCTTCCAGAAGGAGCTGGTGCTGAGCTGAAGCGTGTTTGCACGAGGCAGCAATGCTGTGCTATAGGAGAGGGATACACAGAGCAAAGGAGTTGATGCACTGGGCCCTATAGTAACCCTATAAGTTTTTTTGGGGGAGTAGAGGATTTGCTTCAAGCTGTCAGCAGCTGGAGCATGTTAGATGAGCTCCTGAAGCACTTCTGCTTTAGGGTCCTCCAAAAGGAAACCCATTTGTTGACTCTGTGACCTTGCTGGGACCTGAATCAAGGCATGGCATAAGGTGGACACATATCCAAGTTCACTATTCCCTACCTGTAAATAATTTTTTAAAAATTACAAGTGCAGGTAAACCGAGGCCCAGAAGAGCACAGCTTTATTTCCCCTGGCTACAGGGGCATGGTGCAGGCTTGATACCTCTGGAAATGGGACCAGAAAGTGTTGACACAGAACATCTCCCAGACAGCTGCTCAGTCTGGAATAAATCCAAGAAACACAGTCCCAGGTACTGAGCCTGCTGGAAAACCCACAGCATCAGACCAATTCCCCACTGCAAGGTCCCACCCAACCACCCCACACAGCCAAAATCAGTTGGCAAACCCCCTCTCTGGAACAATCGGGAACCAATGAAGGTGCTGTGCTTTCTGCTCTTAAGCACATCTGAATTCAGCAAAACAAAGATGGGGTTTGGCACAGCTCAACACTGCTTTGTTTCTTGCCAGAACCCTGTGCAGGTGCCTGAAGACGAGGCAGTGCCATGCCAGTCCCTCTGCAGGCACGTCGGTGCTGCCTGGCACAGGGGCATGTTTGCCCACCCCACTGGCACGGGGTGGAGCAGATGAAGATGCCTCTGAACAGATATCAGAGAGGCTGATACCCTTCGACACCTGAACTGTGTATTTCCAAAATGTTAAGCGGCTTTGTGAGAGAGATTATCCCGAAGGATGTTTTCCGTAGTGTTGACATTTCTGTGCGAGTGATTAATTCCAACACAGGCACGGGGTGAGGAGGCAAACCCTTCCCTCGCTGCCACCGGGCAAGGCTACGGCCTTCGCCTCAGCAAGGTTATTAATTCATCCCTGAACTGTGACACTGCGTGTGACTTTGCCACCCTCATCTCCTCAGTCCCCTCTCCAGGCAGAGACCTGAGGATTTTCTGTGCCCCTTTTCATGAAGCGCTGTGACGGTGCAGGCACTTTTCAGCTGTTTGTTCTCCAGGGGTCCCACTGCCTCTGCACTTTGTCACTCTCCCCTGAGATGTGCCGTCACAAACACTCTGCCACAGCTTTAAAAAAAGGGGAAAGCAACAGCTCAAAACAAAGATGAATTGTCACTTCTGTACATTGGTGGCAGAAGGGAGCTGCACTGCTGCAGGTTACGAAGGCAGAAGGGGAAGCCACGGCTGCCCGAGCTGCTGGGAACTTTCTAACCCTCTCACCCAGCTCACTGGTGACTCTCTACAGAGAAGCAGCTTCACTCCTCCCTTACACTTCCAGTCAATGGTGTCTTTCACTGGAGAATTTAATTTGCTGCAGAAATGTTATTATATCTTTTCCGAGGTTTTCTACTCAATTTCTAAAAAATATAGAAAGTAAGTTTAAAAAGAATATATAATATGTATAATCTGTCTCTATATAAAAGAATGTAAAATATAAAAAATGCTATGCAGTGAATAAAGCTTCTATGCCAAATTTTACAATAGGAATCACTTCACAGCATCAATGACTCTGCTCAGCTGTTCATTTTGGGAATGTTGTACCTTAAACTCTGCATCTCCAAAAGCAGCTCTTAGTAGTGATGTTACATGTAGGGATTCACTCAGGATATAAGGAGTTTTCATCTCCCAGGAATCCAAGCAGGATCATCTATGGTAGTGAGTGGGCTGGACGTATTTGCACATGCAAGTACTTCACCCAATGCTGAAATCTGACAGCTCAGAAGCAGAAAACATCCTCCTGTGGAAGGTACAGGCAGAGCAGGGCATGAGGTGTTAAGGAGAGAGCACAGAGCTCTTTGAACACTGTATGATGTCACATGCTCTGCAGCAGGGAGCAGATGCTGGAATCAAATCCCTGATTTTCACTGAGAGACAAATGCCTGGCTGAGACTAGCAAGACCACGTCCTCACTGGTTTGTGGTGCCAAGAGGTAGAAGCATGAAATGCAGAAGAGAACTTCTATCTCCACTCTGTGGCATGGATTTTTGAGGATCCCACCCAAGAAGTGAGGGATCCAGCTGGGAGAGGTGGTGGGACATTGTCACCTGGCCAAAGGCTTGCGAGACCTTCAGATGGAGTCACTCGTGTAGGGAGAAAGCACAGAAGCAGAGATCGGCATCAACTGGTTACAGAAGAGGTAAGTGAGCTTTTTATTGCAGTTAGCACTCCAGCTTCTGGAGGAATAATATCAAATGTCAGCATACAGGTCTTTCAGAAGCTATAAAAAGAGACAGAGTCTGGCAAGACTTTGAAGCTCTCAATAGCCAAAGGCACCTTTTTTTCCAGACTAGGGTTGTCCAGGACATGTGAAGGCTCTCGGTGCTGCATCATTATTAATTCAGATAAGTTGGTCTTACAATAGCCTGATGTAAACCAGACTAAAAGGTGTCATGATAACAGTATGGACAGTGCCTGTGCTGACAATCCTTTCCATGGGATGGCTGCATGCCCAGGGTACAATAAGCAAACAATCAGTAAACACCTGTGGGACACTCCTCTCCCAGTCTGCCAATCTCCAGACATTAAGGGTAACTGCTTCTCTCTGGGCTCCTCCAGTTGACTCATCTGCACTTGGAATCACGCAAAAGCCATCTGAAATCATACAGAAATCTAAATAAATCAGCATCAGAAATTTTGCTGCAGGCATTTTCTTCTGCAAGGATGTGACCATTTTAACACTTGTCAGGGTCATAGCACAGAGCTGAGGAAATAGCCCTGGACAACTCTGCATTCCCAGGAGAATAAAACCAGAAGACACACAGTTACCCAGCAGGCAGTGGGAACAGGAGCAATGGCAGCATTACTTAACTATGTGCAATTTGCTCTCCCTATCTTGATTTAAATTACACTGCCAGAAGAGACTGACAGTGTCTGGAATCAAATTGCTTAGAAAAGTGCCTCTTCAGAGAGAGAGAAAAAAAAAGCCCAAATAACTCAAGTGCAAACGGTCTTGCAAAATGCATATTGTGACTGGGGGCAGCGGGGCCTGGGGCTCGTGTTCATTAGGATAATGCTCATGTAATTATGTTTGGGCCAAACCCCTGTGAAATGGGGGGTAGCACCTCTGACATTCCTACAGCACACGCATCAACCTGGTCTCCTCTCAAGAGTTAGAGGAGGCACCATCAAGTAAGAGCCTCGTGCTCTGTTCCTGCTTCTTTCACTTCTTCGGGTCAGCCTGGGCTCTGGGGACCATCTTCAGGACAATGGGCTTCTTTGGTTGTATGAAACCCCTCAAGTCCAGAACCAGCGGGATCTTGAGCAGGAGGAAAAAAAACCCACAAAACAGCCACGTAAGCTGGGAAAAAGGACAGACATGACAACAACTGGAGCCCTACAACCCACACACATCCCAACTACCACTTGTTTTCAATGCACTTCCTAACCTACAGGTGTACTTACAGCAGGACTATCTCTATTGCTCATGCAGAACAGCTACCAGCTGGTGTTTAATAGCCCTCAGCTCTTGAATAAACTGGTTAGTGATTTCTGGCTTTCACGTGGTGTGGTACAAAGAGCTCGGTGCACTGATCAACAGGCTGCACGTGGAGGGAGAGGCAGCCAAAACCCACGCAGGGAGCTGCAGCCAAGGAGGGGCACACGGTGCCATTTTGTTTAATGTTGAAGTGTGTCAGCACTAAGGGGAACTACATCATAATGGGAGCTGGAGGAGCAATGAGCTCTCCAGGAAAAACAGAACTAAGACTGCTGCTCAGACCAAGTACCAAAGAAAAAGCATCCTCACATCAAACAGGTTTTCATGGGGTAGACTGGAAAGCTCACTAAAAACAACACTTAAAGCGGGTGTTGGAGGGAGTCATTTTGCAGGGGAAGGGAGAATGTTTTAAATCTCCCCCTCTAATGGATGCTGCTCATATCCCAGCTCTCCCACACCCCATCAGGACAAGGGTGATACACTCAGCCTGACAAGCTACTTTCAAATCCCCATATCCCAGTAAGCTTTGTTTCAGGAAATTTAAGCAACATGGCTTGGAGCCCAATGTGCCATCAGTGGAGAAGTGAGAGGAGGTTGCAGCTCCCATATACATATTCCAAAGGGATGTTCCAGCATGAATTTTTTCCTCCCACTCTGATCTGATGTACATGACATCTTCGGCAGAAAAAAGGGCTGAAAGAGCCCCATAAACCTATGGGCACCAATAATACAATACATATTTAACTTGTCTCCTTTTAATTAAAGGCAGTTATAAAAAGAATCAATTTTATGGATTGCAGAGGACTAGAAAAATGTCATTAGACTTGGGGGAGGGTGGATAGGTCACTGCATTGTTAATGGACTATTACAGTCTTTCACCTCCAGGTTACTAGTTGAGCTGCAATCTGAATCGGCAGAGATTCCAGCTGAGCACCCGTGCCAAGTAATAATTTAATCAGGATTTCTCTGTTTCTTACAACAAATGTCCTCTGAATGCACTTGCTGGCCCCTCTGCTCTGATTTCCCAAGCTCACCTCACCAACAAAATGCATTAATGGCACAGCCTTTTGCAGCAGCCAGTGCAGAGAACTGGGCTGGGCTGGCAACCAACACCATCGTGCTACTTGCCTCTGAGGGAACTGCCGTGCTCTCAGGAGGGCTGGCTCTGACAGCTACTGCATTTATCTCATATCTAACAGCCCCAGCTTGCAAGGTCTGCCCCATCAGTACTACACACAGCATTCACTGGGATCCTGGTGGGATCCTGCACTGCCTCAAAGACGGAGAGGGTTACCAATTCAAACTGGACTCAGATTGTGCTTGCTTGAAAATTGTTATCCTTTAGGGCTGCCTGGTGGCCCATAAGAGATGAATTTTGGTGTCTTTGGATGTCTCACCATGCTGTGTTTGTGTTGCAAAGATCAGCTTTGGTGTGGGCTGGGGGGGAACAGTCCCTTCCTGCTCTCTGGAGCAGGGTCTTCCTAAGCTGGGTCGAGGCAGACCCGTAGTGCACTGTGGAGAAGCAAGCACACCACAGCTTAGGTGCACCCAGAGAGAGGTAGAGGACTCCAGGGATCTCAGCCTAAAATATCCCATCAACATTAAATATGTTTCTGTGGAGGCTTAAAAAAAAAAAGTATCCGTAACTTCTGGTGAACCACTTAAAATTAACTGAGAAGATTTCAACAGGTATTCCCATATAACTGTAGGACCATCTCAGTGGGAGTAAAGGGCAGATAATGAAAGACATCATCCCATTTCCTCACCGGTGTGTCTTTGCAGGTTCTGAAGCAGAAGTTTTGCAACAGGACGACCACAGCCACTTTCATGACAAGGTGAGCAAACCTCATTCCTATGCAGTTCCTGGGGCCAGCCCCGAATGGCAGGAAGGTGTAGGGGTCAAGACGCTCTTTGTTCCCTTTACTGAACCTGATTACAACCAAAGAAACTAAGTTAGCATGAGCTACTGTTCCAGGATGTGTCAGCTTCCACATCTGAAGTGATGAGGGGTCTGGGAAGGCAAAAGCTTTTTGTGTTTCAGTGCATATTAGAAGAATTCAGCTAAGTCCCTTATTTCTGTCTCAATAGATACCTTATGCCTCTGCTTTTATCCTACTGCTCAGAGTTGGTTGTGCAACTCCAAGTGCATCAGGTGACCAGGGAATACCTGAAATATGCTAATGGATTTCATAACTACTCTTTTTCTCAGAACTGCCTCTCAGCTCCAAAACTGAACCCGGATTTCAAACCCTAAACCACACAGGTCTACAGCTTCACGGCTTCCCTGTAGATCAAAGGACTGAGCGAACACAAAGACGTTCTCCCCCTGCGTGACTAAAGGCAGGGTTGCTTTTGAGACATGCCAGCCATTCCTCTCCTCATCATGAAAAACAGGGAAGAACAATCAGCTTCACAGAGAAATTTGCCACTGAGCGTTTTCAGTAATACTTCTTAGTGATCAGTTAGTTTTCATGCCAGGAGGCTTTTCATTCCCAGTGCATGAGGTCCAGGTACAAACCTCAGCCACACTAAGTCAGCAGTGAAGTTATCTCACTACTGAGACACCAGCACACCTCTCTGATGAACTCCCAGCAAGGCAAGTGATCCCTAAAGAGCTCCTGTCCAACCACCCATGCAGTTTGTCAACTGGAGTAAGGATGGAGCTACTTGAGCAACTGGAGTAGCCTGCCCATTGCCAGAGTACTCCCATTTGGGTGTTTCCTCCTGAATTTAACACAGTTGGGTTCCATAAGTGACTTCAGCAGCACCCATCTCCCTCCCTAACTTCTGCCTGGTACTGCTGCCACATTTTGTCCCAGAGGTCACCACATTCCCACACCAGAACTAGTTTCCAGGGGTATTCCAGCTCCTGGTGCAAGGGCACAAGGCCTGCTCCTGCTCTTTCTGGACCAACCCTCAATGTCTTTGTGGCTGCTTGAAGACTAGCAGGCCCAGGGTCTCCCAAGATCTGCCTTGGGCTATTGCCTCATTTTGCAGGGTCTGACAGAGCTCCTAAGCAAAGATTGCTTCATAACTTGAATTAAAAATTAAGTTTTATTTCCTACCCATCTTTGCCCTTCCACTGCTGATTTGCAGGGCATTGTGCCAGTCACCCAATGACTCTTGCTTTAATATCTGGCCATAAACCCCTCAGTGTTACAGCTGCTGGGAGCTGCTCTCACTGTTGCTCCCTTCAATGCAGTTAATTAAATTCCATGCACAGTTTATGGATGTAGATCATAAAACTCCCCTCACGGTAACGCTGGGACTAGATGTCAGACAGTGATAAATGCCTAATTTAAATGTTATAATCATGCATTCCCCACTTTTGCTGCCATTCCCACTCCCAGGGCTGAGGTTGAGCACTCAGCTATTCCCCCTGCCCAGCCCTCACCTCTCAGGCCTCAACTCCTCGGGCTCTGGCCAGTACTGCGGGTCACGGAGCAGCACGAAGGCCGGGATCATGACCACCATGTCCTCTGGAATCGTCACACCACTGATCTCCACCGTCTCCTTGCAGACCCTCTCGAGCCGTCCCCCAGCAGGGTAGAGCCAGATGGATTCGTTCACCACCATGTCCAGGTACTCCATCTGTGTGATGGTGCTGTACATGGGAGTGGCCTGGGAGGGGATCAGGACTGCTGTGGGGACAGGACTTCCACTCCCACCCCAACATCCCCACAGCGCTTCCCCTTCAGGCATCAGAGACCATCAGTGCCAGCACCTCAGCCACTCTGCTTTGCTTCCAACCTGGCTTTTGGCTCAGGGTTTGCAAGGCCCTGGTAGGGACAACCCCAGCATCTTCCCCCTCTGCTTTATCTTGTTGGGCAGGTATGCATCGACCTCATCCTGGAGCCGCTGCTGCACGGCAGGGTGGATGGCCAGGTTATAGGCCATGTAGCTGAGGGTGCAGCTGGTGGTCTCATAACCAGCAAAGACAAAGATAAGAGCCTGGGCCAGAATCTCTTCATCACTTAATGCTGAAAAAAGGCATAAAAGCACATACAAGAAGCTGACAATGACAGTAATTAACCCTTGGGAATTCAGGATCCCACTCATCAGTCTAGGTAATGCTACTCCTAACTACTTAACAGTTGGTAAAGGAAATATCCAGCTTACCCTCTGATACCACAGAGGGGTGGATCTGGCAGTTGTACAGCCAGAACAGCTGTCAAGATCAGCAGTGTTACATGTCCTCTAAGCCATGAGGTGAGCCTTGCACTGCCAAGGGATTAGTAGCCCTGAGCACAATGTGATAGTGGTAATAAGCAGAACCCAGGATGTTTTTGATGAGGATGGGATCCAAAACAGCCAGCACAGGCTGCCTGCCATCATAAAACCTAAGCCATGAGAAACCCACAGTCAATCCATCGCTCATGGTCAGCTGGAGCAAAAGCAGCCTGCTCTGTCTGTGGCCAGAGCCACGGCACAAAGTGTTTGGGCCAGCTGAGTCCCCTCTGACAAAACTGCTGAAAGGATGAGGCTGAAACTGTTTTGTTATGTAGTAAAACAGGAGAAAGGGAAAGAAAGTGCCAAATATGGACAAAATGAGCATTTCTAGAAATTGTCTGTGGTACTAGAGAGTTGCCTATGCAGTGTGGGTTTAGATAAAAGGCAGCCTTTGCCACAGCGTTGATTCCCTGCACTTGGGCTGTCTGAGCTCTGTTTCTGCTCCTGGTAGCTGGAAACAGTAAATCCACGCTGAACAGCCTACCTGTGGGGTAAAGAGACTTCCTGCCTGGCCTATGAGGCACTGAGAGTTGAAAAACTCCTCTGTCTCCTCCATTTTACAATCAATAGAGACAGAAGAACTTAAAAGTCATGGTGTGGGCTAAAGGGCAGGGAGCCTTGGGCCGCAGCTGAGGGAAGCTGCCATCTTCAAGAAGGTTGAGAACATTTAATCTCTCGAAAAAATGCGCCAGGTTTCACGAAGCCTCTCAAGATTTTTTTTTTTTTTTTTTTGGCACAGGAATTTTGCTTCAGTTTGAGAGGTTCTCAATAGAAGCCTGATAAGAGGCCCCTGCACAAAACCAGTGCTGTGTGGGGGAGAGGGGAGGCAGGCTCAAAGGTAGCTCCTGCCCCAGCTCTGGGAGAAGCAGGGAGCAAGATGAAAAACCCCGCGGCAGCCTGCAGCTCACTGCCTGCTCCAGACAGACACAGCAGCAGCTTCAAAGGCAGGAGGCTCAGTTTGACACCAAGCAGTGGAGGTTATTTTCAAAGCTTATGCAAACAAATCACCCCACAAGCCGGCCACCATCATCCCAGCCCCGCATCATACTGAAATCCCAGCAGGAGAGAAGCCCTGGACTCTTTCCCAGTGGTGAACCCGGATTTTCCCAAGCTGCCACTGCTGGAATTACAGTGCTGGGTGACACCATGGCAATGTACTTTTTCCATTCACCCCCAAACAGGTAGTTTTGTTCTGCAGAAACTCACCCCCAGATTTTTCCATACTTTTCAAAGCACATCTGATCAAAATGGTGGATTCCCTGGAAAAGAAGAAAGGAGAAATGAACAGTTTGCCAGTAAAAAGTGATTAAAGCAGGTTCACAGCTGGCAGCACAGGGCATCCCACAGACCCACTGTAAGTGGCAGAGGTTGAGGATGGGAGGTGCACAGTTGCTCTCAGGCATCATGTAGATGCTTAAGGGACAGTTGCATTGGAGAGAAAAAAGAGAGCAGAGAGAAAAAAGAATAAAAAAGCCACTATCAACTTTTAACAGCCAACCTGATCCAAAAATGTAATGAAGACAAGGTATGACAAGGTACACAGTTTTAGTGTGAGCAGAGTTAGGAGGCAGAACTAGATCCTGGTGTGTCCTTTCACCTTTGGCTCAACAAGTGAGAGCTGCTGCTGCCTTGTCCTCATATGACCTTCCACTGCAGTTCCTGAACTGGAGCAAACATGGCTTTTTTTGTTTTGTTTCCATTAGGGTTTTAACTGATGTTACATGTAAGGATGAAACTTATGGGACACACAGCACTCACTAAAGCATTAGTAAGAGATCACGTGCGTGCTGTAAACCCAGCAAACACAGGTGAGACACCTCTTTTATGGCAGCCAATACATTTGTTCTGCATTTGCAATCAGCTACCTGAGATCAGCTACTACGTAGTTATTTTATAAGGTTTGATGAGTCAATAATATTTGAGTTTCATCTAAAAATCTATTTAGAATTATAGAATCAACTCAGGTTGGAAAAGACCTCTGAGAGCATCAAGTCCAACCCTTGATCCAACCCCTCTGTGGTTACCAGACCAAGGCACTAAGTGCAACATCCAGCCTCATCTTAAAAACCTCCAGGGACACTGAATCCACCACCTCCCTGGGCAGCCCCATCCCAATGTCTGATTACTCTCTCTGTAAAAAATTTCTTCCTAATATTCGACCTAATATTCAGCCTAAACCTCCCCTGGCACAGTTTAAGACCGTGCCCTCTCGTGCTAAACTCTAGAATTTGGATGGAGGGGGTTTTGTACAAAGGGAGAAAGATGGAGAAAGAGAAAAAACCAGTATTTGTTTGGCTTAGTCTCAGGCTGGCTCAACAGCAAGTGGCTGGATGAGGCATTGCTGGGGCTAATTCAGCCTCTTCATGTTGATGACAAAAAGGGCAAAGAAATAGGCAGTTCTCAGAAGTAGCAGCCTTAGGCATCTCTCCAATATTTTTTATTTTGTTTCTAACAGAACTTCAGCTGCTCAAGAGCAGGCAGAAACACAGGGAGAAACTAATAATTTAAATTACAGAGTAGTTTTAAAATACAGCACATCTCATTCAGGTCAGCCTGATTTCTTGTGTTCTTTGTGTGTCCAAAGAGCTTCCTACCTAAAAGCATCATTTCCAAACAGTTGAATCAAGGGCAGAGGAAAGAGATGTCCAAAGAATGGGAAAAACAGCACCAGCCACAAGAAGAACCTCAGGCAGCTCCAGAGCAGCAGCTGCTGGTACTCACATGCCGGTACTCCAGGAAAGTTCCCAGAAAGGGCAGAGGCCGTGGACCGGGAATTCCCAGCTTCTTGAAGGTCCGGTAGGGCCATATCCCATAGCTGCCAAGCAAAGAGCAAGTGAGATGCATTTATGAAATGAAAAGAGAAGATTCTTCATCCTGAGCACAGCGAACTGCTTTAAATAACTGGTTCCTGTCACTTGAAGAAAGCTGAAATTGTGGACCACCAGCAGCAGGCCTGCTGAGTATACTCTTTGAATAAATGCAGGATCACTTGAGATAGAAGATAATTTGGGGTACAAGATAATTCAGGGTACATTTTGATAGAAGACATGAGCTGAAAGGAGCTGCATCCCAGCCTTGCTGAACTGATGTACATGGGAACCTCAGGTCTTTATTCAGGGGCTCTTTCATTGCCCAGACCAGACAACTGCGTTTTGGGTGGCTGTGGAGAGGTCTCAGAGCCATTAAATTCTCAGGCTGAGCCCTGCCCTTGTGTTTGTCTTTGCAAAGACCTCCTGCGATGCTCAGGTGGTCGAGCCACAGCAGCACAGCAGGGACATAAATTACCACAGCAAAATTAAGTTTTTGCCTGTGTAGCTCACTACAGCTCCCCCGAGCCACATAAGCCGAAGTTTTGCCCACATTAACCACTTAATCGGGGTGTTCTGTCGGCAGCAGCGCCGGCATCGCCCTGCCGTGCTCCCAGCTGGTACAGTGCAAGGAATACCCAGCCCCTGAAACACCTGGAAGTTACTTCTCCTTGAGAAAAGTAAAAAAAAAATAAATAAAGGATTTCCTTTTTTTCCTCCCCGCCCAGCCCAGCTGCCTCCTTCCCTCCCCGCTGGCAACAGAGCCCCACAGCCTCCCTGACCAGCCCTGGCTGCGCTCTGAGGGCAGCGCAGGAGTCCCACATGATTCCCTTCTCCGTGTTCCCTGAGTGCATCAGTAGACCCACACGGACAAGGGGAGATGACACCTTGCACATCACGTCCCCCTGCATCACGCATCACTCCCCTGTGCCCCCAGGCCAGTAGCAGATTTGGCCTCTGCCCAAAGATTTCTTTTGCCTCATAAAACACAGCTAGTGGGTTCTGAGCTGCTGGTGGATCCAGGGGTCACCTGCACACCCTGTGGAGAGCTGAGCAGCAGCGCTGCCAGTTTTGGCAGGGCAACATCTCAGGCATCCCGAGTTGCACGAGGCAATGATGTGCTTGATGATTACATAATTAGTGGGTGACAGTAATCAAACATTTTATGAAGGCACATGCCTGATTCCTCCTTCTCCATGCTGCTCTGAAGCACTGAGCACCAGCAGTGTGCTGTGACAGGAACCTTCTTCTCCATTTTGTGGGGTCTCCCCCTTTTATACCTTGAAGCAACTGTACCCTGGGAGTTGCCCTTTTTTCTGCATTCAGAGCCTGATTCTTCTCCTTGATGGGTCCCATACCAGAAGGACATAAAGAGCAGCAATGAGAGGCAGGAGGAGAAGCCAGGTGCTGGAGCAGCAACTCCCCAGCTGGAATTAGCTGCATTTCTTCTCTCACACAAACCCTTTGATTTTCCAATAACCTCTGCTAACAGCTGTTGAGATTTCTCAGTAGAAAGTGGGTTTGTGGTTCAGTATTTTCTCCTTTCTCAGACAGAAACTGAGGCAAAGCCAGACTTCAGATGAGGAGATGATGTTAGCTACCCCTCAAAATATGTAAATAAACTGTGCAGCATCTTTACGTGCAGGGAAGTTACTCATTTGTCCAAAACAGTTTTGAGTGGGAGCAATCTACTGATATAGAGGTGATGCTCTAGAGAGAAGATGGAATGCAGAGCTTGATCAAACCCTAAGCACTCTGTCATGCACTGGGGGAGGGACAGTGACACCGTCCCCAGACCTATTTCACATCAGGAGCTCTTCTCTTCCCAGCAGACTTGCTAAAGCCCTCATAGTGATGAGAACTCAGGAGGGAAAACCCTCAGGGCAGGTGGCAGAGACATGGCTGTGCAGGGCTCCCATAGCCAGGCTCTGCAGTACCCTGCTGGGAACCACATCTGCAGAGTGTGCACATGGCTGGTGAACTTCTGCAAACTCCTTATTTATCTGATTTTTGATTTGCTTTTTTTTTGCACGTTCCTTGAAGCACTGTTGTCTCCATAGCTCCACAAATCTGAGAAAATCATAGTTAATAAAAAGTCCACCTCCCAACCAAAATTGCTGTCACATCTTGGAGCTGCAGGTGGGGCCATCCTGAACAGTCACTGTTGGATAATTTTGTACAAATTGCACATATTAAATGCACACAGCCCTTTGGACCAAATGCAATGGTAGAGTCTGTACTTACTGAGACTATTTTTCTAATGTGAGTATCACAGAAATGGCACCCAGGAGGGATAAAGCAGAGGAAAAGGTTCTCCAGATCATTTTTCTGGCAACATTTGAAAGGATTTAGCACTGTGGGCAAGCAAACCACACAACAGTGCTGCAGCTGAGGGGCTGCCATGGCATCCCAGCACCTTGCCTTAGAGAAAGGAAGAAAGTTGCCCAATTTGGTCTACACAGCTCTTGTCTGTCCAAGGCTGGTGATCCAGCAAAAACATCTTGTGGCATGAAAGGGGAGCAGAGAGTGCTCCCCCCTGCACTTGTGCAGCAGACGTGCTAAAGCAAGCAAAAAATAACAACAGCAGCAGCACACTGCGAGTTGACATCAATACTGCTTCTAATTCACCTCTTTCACAGAATTGTCACTTTTTGCCCCCTCTCCCATTTCAGATAATAACTTATTTAATAGGTGATGTCTCCAAGAGAGCTGTTAAACCCCATTGGTAAGAGTCACGTCAATGGCCAGTGACCTCTTCGATGCACTGGTCTACAGGCATGGTTATATATATAGAAGACAGAGCTGGTTTACAGCCCTAGTGATGTTTCCAGGGTTAATGGTCTGTACCTAAGAAGGACCCAGAGTGGTCCAAAAGGAGTGTCCTCCTCTGGGTCAGGAGCAGACGTGGCCTCAGCCTCTCAGACATCGGCCTTCGTACTGACACCAACACAGTGACACTGCTTTCCCCATTAATAACAAATCCCAAGGTTGTGGAAGCCCTGGCAATGTGCACAGGGCTATAAACAGACTATTAATTTTTATACCCTGGGGAGAAGAAGAGTGACCCAGTGTGACCCTGCATCCCCCATGGCAGGGTGTCCTGCAATGGTCCTGGACAGCACTGAAGCCATGGCCCTGCACACCTTCCCTGCTCATCCTGCGGCCACCATGTGATCCTGGCATGTTTGCTCTTGCCACACCACCCCAGCAACAATCCTGGTTCAATATTAGCTCACACGTTATCTACCACTCCTTATCCCAGCAGTGGCAGGGTCCTGGGCTTTCATGCACTGGATACTTTGCCTGTGTTACTGTTGTCCTGGAGCACAGAGCCCTTCTGCTGCTGCCATCACCCTGCACTCCCTCCCTGCTGAGAGGGAACAAGTGGCCAGGAAAACAAGGTATGTGGGGGTTCAAAAGCTGATGGTCCCCATGGGTAACACAAACAGAAGGAGACATGAACTGTGATATCTGACCATAGTCATAGCTGTAAAAATGGGACAAATACATCTTAGACCAACCGAATTGATGGGGCACAGAAGATGATATTAAACCTCATGCTTCATGCAGAACTCCAGTTTGTAAAAGCTCCCAGAGAGACAGAGATACAAAAATTTAAAAGTCCCTCCTAGAGGAGAGGTGATTTTAACACTGCTTGGTGGGACTGAACGAGGCCAAGGGATGAGAAGCCATGTGTGAATGCACACCACTGGGTAGAAGGCCACCCCCAGGAGATACACACTCTGCTGCATCTCAGGCTTTTCAGCTGCTGTATTGTAGACCCAAAGGTTTTCCTTTCCTCCACATACTATGGGAAAAGTCACGTTGCAACACACAACAGTCTTCTAAGAGCCAGAGCAAAATGTCAGCCCTGTTAATAACCAGGCTTTTATTCACTGATTGTCCCATCTTTAACAATTCTCTTCTTATTTTCCTCTTGTCCCACAAATTGGACCACAAGCTGTTTATTCCTGGCTCTTCTTTACAAACCTTGCTCTCAAACGAGCCTCTCAAAAGGACTAAATGTGAAAGCACCAGATGTATGACATCCTCTAAGAGCTCCAGCAGCCAGGGAAGGACCAGGGGCTGGCACCAGTTTCTGCCTTCCCTCTCACCAAGCTCAAAACCACACAGCGCTTCATGCCTGGGTATTTCTGAGACCTCTGCAGAGCAAAACACCACGTTGCTCCTTTCATCCAGCAACACTGCTGAATGCTCCTGAAGCCTCAGCAGCTGAAACCCATCTCCCTTTCACTCCTCTATAATTTCTAAGCAAGGATGGAAAATTATAAGCCAACAGCCAGTGTTACATTATAGAACCAATTACAGAAAACACCAAGGGGGCAGTGCTGTGTGCACTCCCTGCTCATGCTTGGACACCACATCCTTCAAGGACAACTTCTCCTTTGCCTGTCTCATACTGTACCAGAGCAGAACTTCTCTGCCTTTTCAGACCTCCCAGCTGGTAGCTTGGTCTCACCAGACAAGGCAGCCAGTGCTTTCCAGAAAGCATCATTGCATCATTTGTAATGACCTCAATTTCTGCCGAGCCACTTCCAAACCAAGAAGTCAAGCCAGAAAGAAACAAAAATCATGACATGACCCTGAAGACATCAGCTCTAAACACGTGACATAGAGCCTTTTCTGCCAGGCTCCCCTTTCCTCCAAACCCACCCTATCTCACTAGCACACATGTTAGAAACAGCCCAGTGAGTGTCATCTCTTTCAGAGCCAGGATCTCTGCTCAGCTAGACCTGGTGCTCAGAGCCACATCGCTGCCCAAGGGCAGAGTTTGGCCCATTGCTTCTGTCTCCAGTGCTTGGCTTCTGGATGTTTTTTCTGGACACATTCAGTGTATGGACTAAGGGCAGGGATGAAGCTGTTTGGCTCGTGATTTATTCGGCACTGTGGACTCCCTATCAGTGGCTGTGGGATGTGAGCCATCCCGAACATGTTTGGGCACAGTCCTTGAGAATCTAAGCAGGTATGGCTGGAGGCTTATCACTCAACCCCACTGGGAGCATTTCTCTATTGCAACTAAAGCCAGGCATTTGGCTGGTTGGATTAACCCTTGCTGGCTTCATGAAATGGGCTTCATTGAAAACGAGCATCTTTTTCTCACCTTTTAATTTCTTCTGTGGTGCAGAGACAGCTATGGATCAATGAAAGTGTCTTCATCGATCACCCTGGATATTTTTTGCTGGACAGAGGATTGAAATACTGAATCCTTCCTCTGCCATAGTGGGCATAAAACATTTCCTAATTTCCATCAGGTTACGTGAGGTTTAATCCCAGAGGATGCAGTCTACCAGCAGATTAAGTCACAGTCTCATAAATCAATTTGAAAATTTACCCTTATTCATCCCAAATTTTCCACAGAGTCATCTCTGAGGACTCCTGTTGCCCTGCTCCTCTCCTGCTCCCTACCTATGGAGTGTTTATACCAATCAGATAAGCTCGTACATACATAAAAAATAACTTAAAATGTAAAAAGAAAAGTTGGTATTTACAAGTTGAGCCTTGTACTGTTAGAATTAGACTCTAATTAGGTCAGTCATGTTCCCCTGGTAGGGTAAGAATGATAGTGCTGGAAAACAGACAATTTATAAAGACCCAAAAATAACTCATCCTGCTGTTTTGTAAGAAGGATGTGTTTCCTTTGCCCTGTGCTGAGGACATTTGCAATCAAGGCCACTTGGGCACACTGATACCAGCCACAGACTGCAGCTTGGTCCCACAGGCAAAGCTGGCCTGTGCCTCAATTTCCTCTTACCAAAGGCGGGATATTAATCCTTCCCAATCTGACAGGGCTGTGGTGAGGTCACTTGTGTTTGTAAGGCATTTTGTCACTCTTGGCATGAGGCCCCAGACCATATTACACATGCTATCTTTTTTTTTTTTTTTTTTCAGACTTGCCTTTTAGCCTTATCTACACCTTCTGCCAAGTGCACAAAGGGCACAAACCCGAGATTAGCAGAGCTCAGGGTAAAGAATTACAAGTCTGTAGTTTTGCTGCTGCTGCTTTTCCAGGGTTCACGGAACCCCGTGGAAGTTGCACAATGCAGGGCATTACCTTTGCATGACACCGTGGGCGTCGGTCGCTTCTTCCTCTGAACACGTTTTTGTCACGCAACCCTGGTTTGCAGGTTCCTTGTTCCTCCACGCACACAGGTGCAGGTTCTCTGACTCCACAAGGCTTCACAGCTTTCAGCGCCCGCTGACAAATTTGCCTTGTAAAAACCTCAAAGAACGACTTCACGTGTCTGATTTAGGATTATCCTACCTCGTTAACAAGTGGTGAGGAACGTGCCAGTTGCTGCTTAATGAAGGTCTCAACCAGCCTGGGAAGTCAGTGGCCACATCGACTTGGCTTGGAGGGGCATGCCCAGCATTCCCAAGTGAACAAGACAGCAAAGTTAAAGAACTCCTGGGGCACAGTGGAAGTGAACAAAAACCCAATAAAAACACATGTTCCCACAAAGTTCCTTTTGATTTTGTGGGAAATGAAGGTTTGAAATGAAAATAATTAGTGAGGCAAGAGGAGGAGAGGAAAAATAATAAAAGACAAGAAGCAGGCTTAAAAAGAGAAATAGAAAATAAAAGGAGCAAGGAGAAAAATAAATAACCCTGGAGTAAAAACGCAGAGGGGAAAAAAAAGGGAACAAAAGAGACAAATAGCAGGAAAAGGATCAGTAATGAAAGCCCAGATTACTTGATTCAGTCAAGCCACTGCTTGTGCTGTTCAGGGCAGGGCGGGAAGCCAATCTGTTTTCTCTGGTATTGTTTAGGCTACAAATGCTGTGGCAGATTTCCCATCCACTCCCATGTTTAGGTCCGTGCTCCAATTCCAGCCACAAAAACATGTGTGGGGAAAATGCACCCTGAGAAGAGGAAGGGCTGGAAGCTGGAGGATGATACATTTTGGAGCCGAATGGCCTCAAAAAAAGCACTTCTGCATCTTATGGCAATTTTGCAGAATAATGTCTCGTTCACGAAATGCTGTGGCGGGAGGATTTTCATCTTCAAAATGGGTACAGTGATACCTCTGGGTTATTACAAGCTCCCAGCCACAGAGGGCTGCCTATATTTATACAACACTGCATTATTTATAATATCCCTTTCAGGAGCAGGAGAATATGAATTCTTTCCTTCACAGTTTGACTTTTTTTTTTCTTCCCTTCTCCCATTTGGAAAACATTGATTTCTCGCCCTCATTTCTCCCACCAGAGCTGTAGCTGACCTGACTGAGTTTAGTTTACTTCTCTAGGCCAGATGCTCAGTGAGTGAAAAGCACAACCACCCACCCTGGAATAACAGAGCTGTCCTGATTTCCCCCAGCTGGGATCTGGTCCTGCCTCCCCAACATCTGCACGTCTGTGGGAACTGATTAAAGGCTACTACAACACTGTAGGGGAGGACAAATATTATTTGCAAGGGGACAAAGGCAATAAAAGTGTTGGCCCTGTAAGTTTCTGTTTCTAAGTGGGTTCTGACTCTCTTGTGTTAAGGATCTGGAGGAAGTTTATCACCGCAAAATAATAAAATATTTAAAGCTGATCAAATTTGGGGTGGAAACTGTTTGAGAGTATCAGTTTAGCTGAGAAGCAGCAGGGGTTATAAGATTTTACAGTCCAGAACAAACAGTGAGGAATTTCAGCCCGTTACATTTTCACTGTCCTGAGCTGTTAACTCGTGAGCACACTGGCAAGGCACCCAGAAACTTCTCCAATAACAGAAGAGTCTGGAAAAGTACTTTTTCCCCTTCCACAGAATAAATGTACCAAGGACACAGCGGTTTCAAAAAAGGGTTTCTTTTAATCAGAAGCAAGTTTGCAAAAGAAGAAGTAACTTTCTCATATAAAATAGTGGAGTGGTGAAGGTGAGGCTAACAAGAGGTGTGGAACAAAAACCCAGGGCGATATCTCCAGGGAGATGCTGAATTAAAAGCAACAATAACCGCAGTACACCGAGGGTAACTCAGACACAGCTGTGTAAGGTGGTCCTACCCCTAAACTGACAGCAAATCTGATCCCAAATCAGAGGACAGACTCCATCCCAAGAGTGGTGAAGTGACCAGCTACAAACTTACCATAATATGGGGTTCTTGCACCTCTCTGCTACCTGAGAGCTCCCACTGCACTGTGACACATCCCAGCACTGCCCAGGGGTGTGATGGCATCGAAGGGGGAGCGCTGGTGGCACTTTCTGGGTGCCCCAACCGCAGAACACCACCATTCCGCTGTAGCAGAAATGCCCAGATCTAGAGATTTGGACAAAAATGGGAAAACACTTTGACATAAAGCTCTGCAACCCCATTCCTGTCTCTATATCCAGTGATTCAAGCCCCAAGAAAGTGCACAGTGATCGAACAGCATCGGAATAATGAATTTCCTGCCAAGCCTGGAGGCCCCAAGGCCATTTAATGCGGGCAGGTGGCAGCTTTGAGAAGATAAAAGTCTGAGTCAGAGCCTGAATCTCAAGTGCTAATGGTATTTCACTCCTTGTTCAAACATATCTCACCTGTCCCACTGTTCTGTGTGTGCTTATCTGCTGTGGCTC